TATCTAAAGAACAGATTAAAATAGATATTTAAATAAAGCATGAAACAAACGAGATTTTTTTGCTCGTTTCCGGCTTCCCTTCTGCGACTCAGATCCGCACTTGGTCGATTTTATTTTGTTTAATAATTACCTTATTGTTTTTTTGAATAGCTATATCTCTATCTATACTTATACTATACTATAATATAAAGAGGTAACGTTTGATTGTTTTGTATGCATCACATAGGCTCCGAAACTATTAGACTGATTTTAAAAATTCTTTCAACTACGTCATCATCATACGCGGGTGACATAGGCTATAATTTATACGGGCGAAGTCGCGGGTATCGCTAGTTTTGTATAAAAATACGAACTAGCTGGCCTGTATATATGTAAGTTAAAGTCAATATGATTAATCAACGATTATGTATAATCGTTTAATATTATGAATAATTGCTAAATTGTGTGGCTAATGTGGTAAAGTCATCATTTTATCGAGAAATTATTCATTCACTTGGTGCTAGCGAAATCAATAAAAATAAAGCTAATGAGAAAGAACTATACAGAATTCAGATTTGGGGTTTATCTTTTAATTTTAACATAAATACATATACACGTATCCCCCTAATCAAATTCTATAGGTAGAATTTGTTGTTGTGGTCGTTAGGTCTAACCTAACTTAGCCATTTTTGTTCTACTGACCTCTGATACATTACATATTTGTAATTGTACGTCATTTATTCTATTATACCAGTAACAAAGGGTGTTACTTTATGATATAATATGTACTAATATTTAAAATTCTTTATGATTTGTTGAATATTTCAATAATTGTGCATCTATTTATAACTGTGACCAAATCCTATTACATATTATATTATCCTATTACAAGCAAGTCAGTGCTAAATTCAGCTTAATTAGTCACTTTATCCAAATGTGGATGATATTATGCAAAATATCTGATTATTATACATAATAACACAATTTATACTTTGTCTGCAACATATATACGTGCGTGTGTACGGGCTATAGGTGATGGGCATCACGCTATAGCTTGTATCACCTGACAAGTGACACTGGTGACAGTGTTACGTCACTTGCCAAACGTCACCGCAACAGAACGGTTCCGCGCCGTTTTCGCACTACACCATTGATAAGATAACCGAATGTAAATATTGAGTTTATCAGATAAAAGATTTAGGATCGTTATACTTTACTCTCGTCCCGACGATCGTTTTCATTTCTATTAAATAATTGTTTCACTGGTCCTATGAAAAAGTGAAGATTGTATTATTTTATTAATCGATACAGTAATAAAATGCGAAATTAACTTTCTATGTCTCTGTTACGTTTTCACACCTAAACTAATGAACGAATTTTAATTAAATCAGTTTTAAATAAAAACGTTGTTAAAGGACATAGGATGACAGTATTTATAACCGAAACAGATACCTATAACAGAAAACTTTACCTACTAGGTTTACATATTACTCAAAACAATCAATAGTTCTACTCGTTCTACTGTTTTTTGTTAACGTAGGGATATGCACCTTATACCTCAAATCAGGGTTCTCAAATTACTGGAACCTCCCCCAGGAGCGAAGTCAAAGTATCCCTTACCTAACTGATAAAATCCGTTGCGGAGTAGCTTCCAATGCGAGAAATGAAAACGGGATCCGGCAAGAAGAACACCGAAACCATCTACACGTACGACTAATTAATCCATTAAGTATTATAAAAATCTATCAAGAAGTATTAGAATACAAAAATGGACTGTGACAAGGTAAATAATACTATTTACTGAAAATTATAAAAAATAATATAAAGTCTACAAATTATTGCCATAATTATAAACGATTCTCATATACTCGTACCTTACACAACATGCACTACCTCACACACTTGAATTCATTTTGATGTTTCCTCTTTATTTTTCATTTGAAAATATTAATAATATATAGGTTATTATAAAGAACTAATAATTTTTTAAGCTAAAAGTGCCTGTTTTTTAAACTCCAATTCATGGTTACTGTCGTTTAGGGTTGAGCTCCACTTTACTTACTAGTCATGACTCTAGTCATTGGATACTTAGTCTTAGCGTTTTAGCGATGCTATTTAGGAAGAAACGAATGTTAAATAAATATGATTGTCGAATTGACAGCATTATTACAATGTTATGTATTATAGATAGAGTCTTAACTAGAGTACTAAGCATCCCAGGTCTGCGAGCCTTCTTCAGTGATAACCGTCCAACTGTACACTAGTTTAGCAAAGAAACGATATTCGATATGGTATGTATTTGAATCAGTTTTAAATATTTAAGGTCTTAAAAGAAAAAACAAAGATTTTTCCATCTGTATTTTGAATCTATGGGTTTTATACATGATGTTACCAAGTTTCACTCAGACACACGCATAGAATAAATTTTCATCGGTTATCTGATTTCATATCGTACCTATTATGAAGTACAATGTTTTGTAAACATACACATCAATTAGGAGATCTTTAACTTACATTCTGACAATACCGTATTTACTGAGAAATCAAAGTATCATATATTTTTTAATAATTAAAGCGCGTATGAATCAAATTTTCATAGATCAATAAATATTTAAAAAATTGAACGATTATTATTTGAAATATTTAATTTCAAACAAAACGTGCAGTACGTTATATCAGGGATATACCTGCACAGTACTATAAACGACCTATTTTGCGATAATTTTAACTATCTATGTATCAATTTCAAGAAATCCTAAATGATAATGGTATTTGATCATGATAAATATATCTTTTTATTCAAGCTTAAATTTTGTTTTTATATCGATTATATAACTTCGCTTTGTTTAAAATCTGTTCGCCTTTAAGACTTGTCTTTATAAATAAAATAAAATTTTTTCCAATAAGTGGAGGGCTATAAAGCTAAAGAAGATAATATGGTAATATTCGTTGCTCTATTTCTTTAACTTGTATTAGACAATATCATATACAACTAATAGAATATCTGAAACAACATACAAATCCGACACAAGATATAGAAAACCTACTTACATTTTTTACTTTTTCCGAACGAATCGAACGTTGGAGCTCAGAGATGCGGACACCGAATCACTCTGGTAAAAGGTATCATAGTTCTAATTATAAAACTATCCAATCAATTGGGCATAAAAATAACAATCTGAAATTACGTTTATTCCATTTTAAAATTTATTTAATAGATGGAATGAAATCTGTCAATGTCATTTGAAAAAAAAAGTAAACTAATATTGTCCAATTATTATTTCATATATGTACCACCAGAGATTTTGAAATAATTCAAGCTAATTGTAATAGTATCATGTGTGGGTGATCTTATAATATGATAATAACATGCTTATTTATTCAGTGTCATTACAAAAAGTTTGCGTTGATTTAAAATTAATGCGTTTTTAATATATTCACACGCAACTACATATCAATTTTATATTATTACATTTATTATCTGTGATCGTGACTGAATGATATTTAAAATGAATATAGTGGCTTATCTATGATTTCGTAAAAAAGGGTAGTAAAATGTTTTTCCTGGATTATTGTTAATTTCATAATAATTTTGAAGATACTGAGGTACATCGTAATACAAAACAAAAACATGCAAACGCATGGTTTTGAACATTCCGTTTGTTCTAAAGATCTATTTGTATATTTTTTAATCACCATTTAAGTTAGTTGGTTATACATATAATAAAAGTATGTAGTACAAGTATCTCAGAAATATGACCCTTATGATTTTGCCTCTAAATCATTCATATTTCTTTTGATCATCGTAACTTTTTTGTATCGCTCTTTAAAAAAAAAATGTCGCTATCAGAAAATTAAAATATAAATTTTATTTCTTTTAATAAGATTATGTTCTTTCTTTTAATTGTCAGCTATTAACAATAGTAAAGATATGTTTTAAAAATTGATATCATTATCAAATCAATATCAAATGAAATATACAAAAAAGGCTCATATTTAGAATGACTTATCCTATATCAATTTGATTGTTTTCATTAAGACAATAGCACTGTTTTAACACTGTCCTAATCGGTTTACATTAGTTTTACAATTTCATTCATTTCAAAAAATTCGCTTATTAAATATAAACGTTTACAATACGTACCGCTAACTGTGTGGATCTATAATTAGTTATCTGATTTATGTAACGATACTGTAAGTTCATTTATGCAACCGTTGATCTACCGTGAAAAATAAAATAAAAATAATTTGCTAATTACGCCGTTGCTTGGAGAATCTTGCAATGGAAGTATAAAGTTAGCTCGGACCTTTATGATAGCTACTAATTGCAAAGAAAAATGCTCTATAGTTCAGACATCGCATAATATGAAATTGAATACACTGTAAGCTATTCAAGGATACCGCTAAGCCTGAATCCAATTATGAACATATCAAAATGACAACTGCAAACTAAGACGAACAGATTGGCGAGATGTTGCAACATTTGAATTTACTTATTTTCGACATATTTAAATATCATTCGTGTACCCTTGTCAACGTCGAATGTCATTTACGGATTTTAATTTAGCTCGGGAACGTCCAATACGCTTTGATATGTGTATTTAAAGCAACTTATTACACAAATACTTTGTAATTATTGTTTTATTTAATAATAAACTCCATAATCGTATCATTTTAGTAGCTGTATTTTGAATAGATTCTCGGTACTTTTATCATTTTTAAATTCTAAATACACAAATCATTAGCATATCAGTTATCAGTATCAGCCGTCGTTTTATGGAGTATCTGAATTAACGATGGTACCACAACTCACACTCAGATAAAAGAGTTTCTTTTCAATATTGACTCAACCAGGAATTGATCCCGGGAACTTAGAGATGGCACGGAGATCATTAAATTAGCACGCTTTTAGTACAATATTAAAAGTATTGTTATGGTTACTCGGGAGCGGAACTATGTAATGTTATGTTATATAATTTACTTAAAACAATATTTTTTATAAAACAAAATATTAAACTTACCGGTGTGAATATTTTTTATGCTATCCTGGACATCTTTTTCTAAGTCGTTAGTTATAATCTCCACTTTGGGTATCGTAATATGTTTCGCGCTGCACCACGCAACCAAAATTTGAAATAGCATTAATTTAAATAACGTATGTCGAACGTCCATCTTGAGCACCGAACACTCACTGACACTCATTGTTATAGTCCTCGAAGGCTTTACTGGCCCTTCAGATACAGTCACTAAGAAATCAACATAACACTTTCACTGTTTTTAACTAGATTCAATTAAATAGCGGTTACCGAGTGATGATTACAGGCTACATTTGTGTTTGTAGTTAGATGATAATATAATTTGCCTCCCGCTTCGGTGCTGTTGCATTATAATCAATCTGAAAAAGAAGACAAAGCATAATTAATAATACGATTCAAGCTTCAAAGAAATAATTTTATAATTTATCTTACATTCGTAAACTGATAAGAAGTATATATAAAACTGATAATTGTCAAATCAAGTTCTCATATAAATCGTTTTGAAGCGTCTACCTTTATGTGGGCTTATTAAGAATTCTTATTCCGGTCAAAAGCTTCAGAAGCAAGGTCGATTTAGCGGGACGTTTTCACATTTGAATAACCACGTCTAAAGTAATCAACATCTGTTGGATTGTGACTCGTACTCCTATCTAAAGTAATTAAGTATACTCAATATGTACAAATTGACGCGTTGACTGACATTAATCAAATTATGTATTAAGAATAAAAAATCATAATCTCACCTTGAATTTGTAGATAGATAATTCACTTAATTTAAATAAGTAAAATATTATAAACAGTTGACTTTATTTTTTTATATATCTATAGTAAAGTAAAATTAAATTTATGAATGGATCTATAATAGTAAGTTCTTTTATCAGTCAAGTCAGTTGAACACACGACCAGCTGAGTCAGATCTCTCACCGTATCTGAATGAGGCTGAGCACTTACATAATTGTTAACAATTAGTATCTCGAATGTTGTAATTATCTTACTCTATGCAAAATCTTACGATATGACTCTCTACTGTCAGAAAAATTAAACGCTTAGTAATAAGTTTTAATATTACGTTTTTTTTATTTTCTAATATTGTGATGGAAAGTGATTTCATGTTATAATGGAGTCATTTTTCAATTGACGGCTCTGTATGAAATAAAACAGGAAGAAAAAAAGTAGCCCTTGCTGAGTTTTTTGCCGGTTCTTCTCGGTATAAGGTACAAGGTCTCCCACTGTAGATTTAAGAACCGATGGCGTAGTTTTGACTTTCACATGAGTTTGTAACAGCCTAGATTCGATACCTACTAAAAGTACAATATTTAACTTGACTTAGTCATTCATAAGTAACCGTTAGTCTCATAAGGGCCGGACATAGGATTGGTGAAAAAAAATTACCCCTTGCTTCCGGCTGTATCTGTCGCCAACACCCACCAATCCACACTGGCCCGCGTGGTGAGTAATGGTCCATTTTTCCTATTCTATTTCATGCATTCGGAAGACCCGAACCCTAAGCCTGAGTATTTTAGTTAATATGAGGTATACCACTTCAGAAATCAGAAACTAGATTTCCTCCAGCGACGTCGACCGCGTGGTTTGATGACGGTGCCTTGACAGTATATTTATCGCTAGAAAACCATGTAGTGGCATAAAAGTAGCCTTTCTTTATGCGTGATAGGTTAACAAACTTTCACATATATAATGATAGTAGAATGTGATTTTAATAATCATTGGTAAAATGCTTAAAAAATTCGATTATCTCAGGCGACTTTTATATGACCTTGCAGATAATCGTAAATAAAATAATTCTAAATATCAACTTCAAAAATTCCACGCAAATTTCATGTTATATGCGATAGCCAGGAACAATATGTCTTTCTTTAAACTCCATTAAAATATATTTTCAGTATATCTTAATTATACCTACCTGTTAATTCAATTAAATTATTCCATGTAGTATAATTTATTCATTACCATTGAATACGGCACCTGTTATTTGAATGTGTTAAATATGACTTTGACATTGGTGTTGCTAACAAAGGGGTAACAGGTGTGCTAACTAGATAACATTAAATTGTAAGTTATTACGTCACATCCATTTACTGATGACACGTCGACTGACACCGAAAACTGCACCAATGAGCTACATCCACTCTCTTTATAAGGTAAGCAACGCTTTCTTTCAAGTAGCATCAAGTAGCATCGAAACAAGAATGATTGACGGACGCATGGCATGTATAAGGTTTTATGCCGTAAATCATTGTACCTGATAAATGCACATATTGATGCAAGGATTCAACATAAATGACAGTCTTATAGGCGGATTGCAAAAAACTGAAGCATCTTTATTTATAAGGACTTAACAATGAGCTCTTAAATGCGATGCAAATGTCGCCGTTAAAATGAAATATTGCTGTACATCTCGTTTTGACTTCTACAATTGCATCCTGCTAATATCTACGTATAAAAATGATGAGGAAACGAGATGAAATCTTGAGATAAACTATGACATTTTGTGTGAAATAAAGCGCCAAAAGTTGTGTTTAATAAATTTGCTAAGCAATTAAAGTAAATTCGGGTAAAACATTTATCAATGTTCACTCCAAAAAAATAACATAAGGAACGCTAATTGTTAATGGTTAATTTGTGTAAAATAAGTATTTTAAAAGGTTCTTTTAAATGTTTTTATAAGTATAGCGTGAACATTTATCAAATATTTAATTTCTAAATTCGGATTTCATTTGTATTTTATTAATAAATACGTTTTAGGTACTATTTAGTCGTAATCTTTGTCTTTTTTCACCGGACACTGATAAAATGTAAAAGGCACGTACCCTTTTTATGTTGGAATGTGTTCTAGGAAGAACGTTGAAAGGGCGAGAGGTGGCCACGTGCCGTTAAGACCGGCGCCGCTCCCACCGGCAGTTCCTTAATAAAAGCTCGATTGTTTTGTTCGCTTCCCCGCGGAGCCTGCGCTAGGACGAGAGGCGCCATCCACAACAGATTGTCTCTGTTTACCGAGCCGGTTTATGGGCCCTTCCCACTGATTAACTTTACGACTCAAAACAAAGGATTGGTGCTCTTTATCTGATGTTAAGAGCTCATAACTTTTACTCTGTTCCCTTTTGTTTATGTTTCGCAATTGTTTTCTTTTGAATAATTCTTTTTTACATGGGTTTAGTACTGCAAAATAACTCAGTTTTTGACCATTTTAAAAGTTAAAAAGAAGTGAACGTTGATACATAGAAGCTGCATTTTGCCCTTCTTTTGTACTTTGCCCTAATTTAATGTTTTAAAGATCGGTATGGTAATGTCAAGTCCCAAATGCCCAAAAAGGGTCCAATGGCCAAAACCAGTTCACCTGCACTACTCCTCCGTCCTAAAAAGGGGTAGTAAAAAGTTTTTGCTTATTTAGATATTAATACAAATTATGAAGATACTACAACGTGGGTACAATTTATGCCTCGTGCCTATAAAAACATCTGTTGTCAGTAATTGTAAATGTTGTTAGTAACACTTTTCATCAATTAACTTTTCACACTTGTGTTGGCTTAGAGTTTTACGTCACTGTGATAACCGATATTTTAATTTATTTTATGGAGTGTAAATAATTAAAATAATCAATAGATAGATAGTCCTAATCTAACAGGTAAACAAAAAGAACAATAATTTGAAAATATAAATGTATTTTTTTTTTATTACAGACTTTATTCATAAGCAAAGTTATATCGGTTGCACTTTGATTTGTTACATAGATATCAAATACTCATATTTGTACTTCTGTATTATTGTTTGGCGTTCAGTAAACAAACTTTATAAAATAAATTGATGAAAAACGCATTAAAAATCGTTAAGTAGTTTAAAAGATCAGCATACATAGAGTAGGAAGCAACTTTGTTTTATACTATATATATGTAAACATTCTGCATTCGTCTACATATAACATTTGTCTTTAATATTTTTCCATCAACGCAATTTGAGTAAAAAACGGGCCAAAGTTTTGTGTCACTTAATAATATAATTATTTGGAAACAATAATTAAAAGAAAATTACAAATCCTGTTGGTAACATGATGTGTGACCTGACATGTGTTCACTACAAAAGTTAACAAATTACTATATTTACTTATGTTGCTTGAAAATGACAATATTTGCCTAAAATTAATAACAAAGTTTTAAGGTATTGTCCGTATAACACAAAAATATAAATACTGTAGATCATTATTAATATTAACGATTTTCGCAACCGTTTACATTTTTTATATTTCTTTAAACTACGCACGGAAGTATAACATATAATTACTGTAAATTGTTTGACTTTCGTCGTCACGTTTTATCACGTTATCAGTGCCGATCTCGGTGTACATAGCCTAATCTTAGCGCTGACCCGAAACGAGTGTGGGCTAAATAATGACGTACGAACTAGACTATATCTCGTAGTTCTTCAAACATCAGATAATAAAGATTTAGAGTACTCCCTCATTCAAACCAGCATGGAAAGATACTGGATCAACAAAAAAGTTATACTAATTATGTTAGATTAGAGTTTTTTTTAATTATTATGCTTATCTTTATTGTTGAAAAGATGTTTCAAAAGCTTATAAAACAAGTGAAAGGTCGAAACCTTTTTTTAAATTCAAGTTACTTTATATAAATAGCAATTGTTAATTTTTACATTAAAAATTTCGAGCAAAGCTTTTTCTTTTTTTTAACGTTATTTGCTAAGAATGGATGAGAGTTTATACGGATATGATTTAAAGACTACTAGCAGTGTGGCGCCAAGGAAATGGTATCGTGAGGCGCAGCCAGTGCGATACTCGATGATTCCAGGTATATTTGCTCAGGGTTGATACATTCAAGAAATTATACAATAAAATATATGAATAAATAAAAACAATGTATTCTCAAGGCCTAATGCGTGCTGGTCCAATTCAGACGTATTTTTTTAAATTTATTTGTTGAAGAGAAAATAAAAATAATTTTTTTGTAGAGAAAATATTGAAAAATTGTTAGGAGTATGATACTAGTAAAATCATTACCATTCTTTTCTCATATCAAAATGTGAATTTAATGTAATCTTAAAATTACCAAAGTAAAATTGCTTAAAGATATCAAAGTATGCAAAAAATATGTTCTGTAACATCAAAGTTCTTAAGCATTGTTATTAGTAATAAACACTAATGGTTAATGTTTTAAAGAATTGTATTCAATAATATTTTAAAAGAAATTCCTACTTGTCTTAAACAAAATTCATTTTTAGTTAATGACATTTATTTTACAATACGCTTTTGTACATTTATTACTAATTATCGCATTTACGACGTTTAGACTTTATGTAATGGTGTTAATGGATGATAAAAGTCTCA